AAGTCGACAAAGTGATGACTATTATTTAAGTTATATATGTTTTTCAACGTTTTATTTTTTACATTAGATGTATTTTATGAATTTATCATTAGATGTTTTTGAGACAGGTCACCTTTTTAAAAATGCATCAGTTTTCTGTCATTATATCTGTAAGTTTGACTCTGATGAGGTTTTGTTCTTTATTTTAGTACTCAGTACTCTCGTCTGTGGACAGGTTCAAGGTGAGAACTGTTGTCTTTTTCTGTTTTTGTCTCAATGTTCAATATAATGTTGACAGTATTAATATAGATCTTTGTTTCTTTTCTTTTTTTTTTTTGCATTCAACTACACTATTGGTGCAACATTTAACAAACCCTGACAAATCATCTGTGTAAGCAGAGGTGTTGATTCACACTTAAAGTAAAATCTGTTTTCATTAAAAGCCAATTTTCTTTTTGTTTGTTTGACTTTATTTTATTTTTTGCCTAGTTACAATTACAATCCTTAAAGGAATGCATTTCAACCACCACCTAAAATGAAATAAATTAATGAATAAAGTTAAAGCTGTTTTGATCAAACTTTTTAAATGACATTTAGCATAATCTGATGAGATACTGAGAGATCGTGATAGAAGTGGAGGCACTTAGTGAATGACTTGATGACTCTCTGCTAAACTGCAGCAGATTTACAGGAGCTCATGTTCAGTAAAATAACTGAGTTGAGACATTTTTGTGCTGACTAAGATCAATTAGTTGTGGTAGCCATCTTGAATTGGCTTGACTCCAAATAGTAAAAAGTTTAGACGTAGGACAAATAGTTTCTGAAAGTTTTACTAAGTGCTTTATGATAACTTGCAAAACAGACAAATGAGTTGATGCCAACAGTTCATGCCAAAGTTTAAGAGAAACTTTCTGTGGCCACCATTTTTATCAGAGTTGACTTCAAATGTTAATCTGTCAAATATGTACACTCAATGATTATTTTCAGAGAGTTTATTTAAAATCTATTCACCAATTTTAAGAGCTATTTGCTAACAGGCTATAAAACACATACACACAAAAAGGTCAGAAATGTTCTGATAAATTATTATTAATATCTTGTGGAAATAATTTCACTTTTTTTTGGATATCAGTTTGTTTTGGCTGATACAGTTCATGATTT